GGGTTTTGGTTTTGTTGGTTGGGGTTTTTTTTTTTGTTTTTTTTTTTTTTTTTTTTTTTTTTTTGAGGGGGGGGGAGGGAGGGGTTGTTTTGTTTTTAATTTCCATAAATTTAGTTCAATTTCAAGGCTGTCAAAAAGCATGCCCACAGATTGGATATTCTTAAAGCAATCTATTTTTAATGAAATATCTGTTTTGTTTTACACTAAGATTTGTGTGTTGAAAGTTTGAGAGAAGGACCTCCCATGGCACTTTCCTTGGGACAGCAAAAGAGGAGAGCCCCAAGACACGGTAATTTCTATCTTCCTTGAGCAGATAAGTTTTTCTCATTATACTCAACATCTTTGCCTTTTTATATTTGCCTTGCCTTCTGCCTCTTCACCACTTCCACTTCCCTTCCCCTTTGCTGCCATTTCCTCTTTTCCCATGAATTCCCTTCAGTTTCTCCTGCTGTGTCCCATCTCAGCACCTGCTTACAAATGATGAGTGTTCAAAGAATCACATGTTGATTATTTCAGGTCTACGAGTTCATGATTTTGTACATGTCCATGAAATTACATTTCTTTCAGGCAAGTCAGACCTCCAACAGGAGACATTTTATAACAGGTTTAATTAGAAAATGCCTAACTTAGAATAGCAACATCTTAGAATCACAAAGTAATTCAGGTTGGAAAGGACTATTGGAGGTCAGCTAGTCCAAGCTGTTCAAAGCAGAATGAGTGGTGAAATCAGACCAGGTTGCTGTTCTTTCAAGACAATCTGGTCTTGAAAAACCTCTAAAGGATGGAGATGCAAAACCTCTCTGGGCAGATTGTTCTAATGCTTGACTCTATAGCGAGTGAAAAATTCTTCTTTATACCCACTTAGAGCTTTGCTTGTTTCAAACTACGTCCATTGCCTCTTGTCCTCCTGCCATGGGCCTGGATCCATTTTCTTGATAATCTTCTCAATAGTATTGAAAGGCTGTATTAGGTTTCCCTTAAAGCCATCTCTTCTTGAGGCTAATTTAGGCCAGCTCCTTCAGCCTTCCCTTACAGGCCAAGTGTTTCAGCCCTTGGACCATCTTTGTGGCCCTCCATTGGACTCACTCCCATTTATCAACACCCTTCTTTTATTGGAGGTCCCAAAACCGGATGCAGTTTTCTAGATGCAGTCTAGTGAGTGCTAATTAAAAGGGAATGAACACTTTCCTTGATCTACTGGCTAAGCTTCTGTTAGTGCAGTTCATGACACTGTTAGCCCTCTTTGCTGCAAGGGGACACTGCTGGTTCATGTTCAACCTGCTCTCTACCAAGGTCTCCAGGCCTTTCTCAGCAGAGCGGCTTTCCAGCCAGCCAACTCCCAGCCTGTACTTAGTGCAAGGCGTTATTCCTTCCCAGATGAAGGACTCTGAATTTGTCTTTGCTGAATTTCATAAGGTTCCTACTGGCTCATTCCTCCAGCCTGTCTAGGTCTCTGAATTGCAGCACTGCCCTCAAGCATATATTAATTAATCTGCCCCAATTTGATTTCATCTGCTAATTTGATGAGGGTGCACTCTGTCCTCCTCCAGGTCACTGATAAAGATGGAAAGCGCAACTCATTTTCTTGAGTGGGTTCCAAAATACAGTCAAAGGCTAGCCGCAGCAGCTGGAACAGAAAGCAGGCTTGAAGCAAAGCTCTGTCTTCAGCAGAATGACATCAGGAAAGGTTTGTGTCTTTCAGAGAACTCTTTCCTTTTGCTAATGTCTAGGAAGCACATGACCAACCAACCAGTCACTACCCTCAAAGCCAAACTATCCAACCAATATTTTACCTATCTAGTTGTCCACCCATCCAGATCATAAAGTCCTAATTTGGATACCAGATTTGGGGGAGGGACGAGGTGGGGAGGGAGCAGCTCTTGCTGCTGCATCTCTGAATATGGAGGGATAATCATTCTTTTGTATAAGTCTGATTTCTGTAAGTATGGTTCCCTAAATTTATTTAGTTTCCACAAGTTTAGTTATCTCCAAAATCAACTGCCGGCAAGCAGGATAGATTTTAAGTGTTCCGAGTTCCCTTAAGTGGATCTGAGCTGATTTCCATGGATCTTATCTCCATCTTAGTTTTATAGGACATATAAAGGAAGTTTCCCTTTGAATATAAGGAGCCAAACCCCACATTTTACTCACGAATTTAAAGGACCACTTCCAAAACTGGAGCAAATGCATAAGAAGTCACAACTCTTTGGAGCCTCTTAACAATCTTTCAGTGAGCTCTCTCAACTATGTTTTTATAGACATACTGATGCAACTGAGTACACAGTTACGAAAGCATCAGAATCACAAACTAGTACGGATTAATTCTGACTGTTATTGATACGAATAGTTAGCATGGCTTCTCTCTGCATAGCTGAGAAGGTAACTGTAGTACAACAGTGGAAATACTACTTAAGTAAAATATTTTATTATCTTATTAAGAAAAGGGCAATGTTAATGATGTTCTGCTAGATTAAAAAATCTCCAATTCTCTATTTGTGTGAAACTAGCCCATGATCCCAGGCGTATTAAATTATTATTGTATTTTTGTCATGCCACAAATATCAAATTAATTCCAGCAAATTAACCCTCATAAATCCACAAAAAGGGAAATGTGTAAAAATACATTGAATTCTGCCGGAAAGGGTTCTGGCCTCTCTGTTTTGACCACCAGAAAAAAAAAATAAGGTATATACACTGTTAATAGCAGAGAGAGTTAGGATTACTTTCAGAGGTACCAATTAATTTTTTTTCTTCATGCAGTACCTTCCATATAAGAGGAAGTAGAAACAAACCTATAATTTAGGGAAAGTAGTCTTAGCTGTAGCCATTTTTTAACCCTAGGGATGCATGATCTGCTATCATCGACAGATCAGTGCTTCTTATAAGAAATATTTGCTGAGACTTCCAGGAATCCCTTCACTATTGGAAAATTCAGAAATGCTCCATGAATATGTTCAATATATTGACCAAGAATAACTCCACACATCTGAGTTTCTTAATAAAAACACATAAAGAGGACTTACTAATTGGAGTCCTTAATAGAATCTCAATTACTAAAAGCAATCTGAGTTGATAAAACAGAATTTTTATTCTGAATATTTTGAGTATCAGAGAGTTAGCAGGGCTCTGATGTTTGCTAGTGCTTTAGTAATGAAAAAAAAAAGATACAGAAGCACCTGTTTCAAGATGCCTAAGAACCAGGTTCCTTAGTGACAGCAGAAAGGGTGCTTCCCTTTGAAAGCCCCTGGGAGTATTGGAATAATCACTTGATTGATAAGCTTGGTTTTAAGTCTGTCACAAAACCAGTGTTTTTTTAAGGTATGCAATGATCACACAAGTCCATGATTTTACAAAAACTGTTTTCATGCACAGCATAAAGCAGTGATAATAGGCTCAAATTAAGTTAATGGCTGGGAGAAAGTAACATTATTGTAAAGATAAAAATAATTTTAAAAATTTATTCTAAATTTCTGATCCCCCCCCCCCATTTCAGTAGAAGGTCTCATATGCTTATTCCTTCAGCCTTTACATGTGATAGTATAAACGTTCTACCAGTTCTCTTCAACTTTTACTTTTAAGTGGAGACAAGTAACAATCCAAATGCAAACACACCAAGACTAAGAACTGATGGGAGCTTTGCCACTGATTTAACAGGATGAGCATTTATCTCAGTTTGTAGTACTCACAAATCTGCATCCACACCATGCATTCAAGTCCCCTTGAATAACAATTTACTCCACAGGTAGCTACCGGAAAACTAGTAGAACTAATTATGTAGTAAAAGACTCATTAGAAAGTGAAGAAATGAAGAAAATCTTCCCCTGGATAGCTTGTTTTCATTAAAAGTTCAATGAAATATGACAGCCAAACTAAATAACTTGAGACTTAAGTGTCTGTTAAGCTCCTTGCTAAAAAAATTCCAGTTGTTCAAAAGTAACAAAACCAGTATTACTTAACAGTATTTTGTGTACAACAAGAGTTTTAAGCATGTATATCTCCAGCCTTCTAAAAATGTTAAGCTAAAGCACTAATCTAACAACTTTATGAAACTAACGGTATGCATACTTCCCTGGATCTGTCTGCATGCAATCCACTTACGATCATAAACTCATGATCACAATTCAACATGCTAGCAGTATTCCCTGTGCATGCATTATAGACAGCATGCACAGGAAAAAAGCTGTAGTCAATACAGTCAGACTCTATATTTAGGTCTTTATTGCATGTCACATTTTCTGAGAAAACATCCTAGCTTAAATGAATAATCACTTCTTACCAACAGAAGTCAATGAACTTGTTGGATTCCTAGTGGCACGGTTAGAATGTCTCCTATGAGGACTACGAGGCCTAGAGAGAAAAATGGACAAAAATTATGGGAGTATGCTACCAAAAAAAAGGTTCTACTTCTCTATAAAAATTTAACATTAAAAGGAAAGCACTTTTATTTGATCAAAAAAGTGAAAACAAAAAAATTTTATTGCAATTCCTCTCATCTCCAAACAAATAGAAAATGGAGGAAGATTGTAGAAAGAAGGAAAATTACAGAAATTGCTCTCACAACGGAGTTCTGACATTTGCTGATAACCTCATACATTGTGAACTTTTGATTTCTCAGAAAAACTACATTTCTTTAGTTCATTATCACGACTTAAAACTCATGTAAATATGGTACCTTGCAAAAAAAAAAATTAATCTTCATAAATTGTTAGTGCTTCTTAATTTAAGTTTTATTACTGACATAATTTCTTAGGCTGCCACACTGACACTCCCATATAGCAATATGGGAACTTTCTAGATTGAAAACCAGGTGAAAGTCTCAAATGACTGCAGAAAACTAAATGCTGATCCAGCATATAATGCTGCTTTTAAAGGGCTGCATTGTAATTCTGACTCTTAAATAATCTTGAAGTTTGGAGAAGTACACTTTAAAAATACAAGCAAATTATAGTATAGATTTATGATCAATACTTTATCAATAGTTTTTTCCCATATTTTACATCTCAATTCAATAAATTAAAAATCCCAGGTCAAGAAGTATGCTTTATCAGAAGACTGACAATAACCTTAATTTAACTGAAAACTGAATTTAAGTTTTTAACTTCGAGCAGGACTATTATTTCCATTCAACAGTTTACTTTCACATATGCCTAACCTCAAGGTGGTATTCTTGCCCTATCTACCTGAACAGGCCAAAACATCTGCTTCAAAACTCACTGTACTATAGTATTCAAACTAGACATTTAAGTTGTCCCAACTGTCTAGTTTAGAAACATTATCTACTTGAATTTTCAACTGATAAGTATTTTATTTCACAAGATCAGAAATGCGGTCCTATCCCCGTTTCCAGGTGCTACAGAAGTTTCTTTTGCAACTTCACCAAAACAGGAAGGAGGACTGAACAGATACAAGGGACAAAAAGGAAAGAAAAGAGCTGGAAAATAAGCTTACACTTGTTGCATCTGGTTTTTAGATAGAAAAAAAGTCCATTAACTCAATTTCCAATACTTTCATCTCAGGACTTTAAAATAACTGAACATATCTTAATTGGCTTTAGAGAAAATTTTAAAGATGCTGGCTAATAATATCATGATATTCTAACATCTCAAAGTATTATCTTATGAAACAAAGTTAGCCAGCAATGCCAGGCTACCAACAATCTTTGTAAGAAAAGAAACAATATACAGTAACAGTAGCCTCACCAGCACAACCTTAAGTTATATAGAACAGTATGCGTTTTAAGTCAATACCAAGATAATATGCACAAGACTGGAAGGTACATTTATTCTGAAAGATATATGTAATATGCTAAACCTGTCAAAAGAAGAAGCATTTTCAGCAGTTCATAAAACTATAAAATGCTAAGTATAAAAAAATATATAAAATACTTGCAAAAGCTAGTAGTAAAAATTCCAAAGTATTTTTATGATCATAAGCCTTCCTTGGAAATTTTCTGCGCTCACAAATAAGCCTTATTATACAAACTGTTATACATTGCAAGTCCACCTTTTGCCAAAAGCCTTCCTTCTTCATTAAAACACACTTTAGTTATTTAAGGAGCAAGCAAACAGATTGTTTTTAAGAACAACATAGTTCGCTGCTGCATTTTCCTTTCAACAGACAAAACGATTACAACAGATTGCAAATATTATAGCTACAATGTCTGGTTTTCTGCATCATACTAAGAATATTGTAAGAAGATGGTAATACAGCTAGTTCTTTAATTCAAGAAGGGAACGGACAATACAGGGCTTGTACATAAGATACTCCCATTTACGAGAGTCAACACTGATGGCTGAGCATACCTTGAGGAAATTACATCTCTAGTATTTAAAAAACAGTGATTTTTTTAAGTCTTACAAGGATTAATTTCCTAACTCTACATCAGTCTACAAAGTTCTTATTGGTTCAGTGGAAATATTTATATGATTAAAGACAGCACTACTGGTGTACATATATAATTAGTAGACCAGAATTAGGGATTTAGCTACTGAATTGAAAAATTTCTGTGGTGGAAGGAATACGTCAGGAAACACAAAAATGCTCAGTTGAACTTTTTTTGGTCTCAGTTGCTCATTGACTGGGTCTAAGGAAAGGTTAAAATCTGGACAGAAGGATAGTATTGCACCATTGCCATGCACAGAACATGAGGAATCCAACTGTCAGTCATCCTTGTAGTAGGTGTAGGATTGTAGTGCGCATACGCACACCACTATATGTCTACAAAAGGATTTCACCAAGAAATGTTTCCCTCACCAGGCCATATTTTATTTGCTAGCAAAAGGATGGACTTCAAAAGTTACAGCTTTTAGTCCAAATTATGCAAAACTTTAATTTACATTTTTGTTTTAGTTTCAAATTATGCTATTCTGAAAGATAAGAAAGTTCACGCAAATTTAAAGTATACTGAGTCAAGTTGGCAGGCTTAGTATTATATGAAACTCTACTCTTTTAGTATCAGTTATATTCCTGTGTCCCTCCGCCCCTTCCCTGCATCCAAAAAAATCATCATCAAAATGCAAAGACAATATGATCAAATTACACATAGAGATACAGCAATAATATTTTGATACAATATACATTTCAAAGCAATATTTTAGAAACACAGCTCCTGGAATTACTGTACAATTTATGCAAAGATTGGTAATGTATTATATAGTACCTGTTAACCAGATTTTTGTCAATTTCTACATCTGGCATAACAGCATTCTCTGGAAGAACAATAGAAGGTGTACTGCATGTTGTCCCTTCAACAGTAGTATCCTGAATGGTTTGTGACAAATATAAAAATGTAGTTAAACAGAAGTTCAAAACACTGAACATTGATGCTCTATGTGGAAAATAACGTGTATTGCTCAATTTAGCTAAAAGAGAAAATGACTGAACTAAGTGAGAATTAGCTCTTATTTGATAAAACAAATGTCAGTTAGAGGCCTATACTTAATTGCTAAAAAGAGATGATAGAGACCTGGAATATCTGTTTTCTTTACAAATTTTTAATGCATGCAAGCTAAATTCAATAAGCATGGAACTAATGAGAAAGCTTTAAAATGGTAGACAAACTGATTTTTTGCACAGCAAACCATACCTCTACTGAAGTACATGTACAACACTTAGTGAACTTACAAGCTGTATGCAAAAGTGAAAAGCAGCTATGTATAACAGGGCTGAATTAGGCACACAAAACCTCCCAACGGTATTAGTGTGCAATGAAAGCTTGAATAAATCCAGGATTAAGTGTACACATGCTATCCAAAAAACACAAAAATAATTATAAGGTTATCTTGTTCGTGTTCTACTTGGTTTTCTCTCCCATTAATTGGAAAAATATTTTTTTAAAAATATAACTGCAATATTTAATCAAATACAATATAATTTTTAAGTGACAAAAGAAACTGGCACTGAATATCAATGTATGCTTGCCTTCTTAAAAAATATGGGAATTTGTCCTGAGAACTTAATCCCACATCTTCTACCACAATGATGCCAATCAGCTGAAGAAAAGGAATCTGTTTCCTATGAGATATCCCAAATGGAGTTGCATCAAGTTGGAATAAAGAACTGTGGATTGCTCATATGTAGTCAAAAAATGATTACTTCTACCCCATGTACTACATTCAGATTCGGGGGGGGGGGGGGGGGGGAAAAAAAAAAAAAAAAAAAAAAAAAAACACCACCTCACTTGTAAGAGGCGCAC